AGACTTAGGGAAAAAAGTACAAGGAGAAGGAGCGATGAATTTTGTCATGCCAGAAAAAAGGGCGAGAAAAAATCTCGATAAAAAATTCACTTTCCCGTCCCAGAAAGTAGATCAGTGGGGCCTTTTAACCTGATTCGTAAGAGGGAAAAGTGACGCGGAAATCCGCTCGTAATTCTTAAGTCGGGCGAAAAACAAGCCAATTAAAGAAGCACAAAAAGCTGTTGAACAGTGGAAAACAGGGAAAGAAACGGGATTTTCGGGTGCGTAGAAATGAGAAATCCGGTCGCAGTAGTTAAAGTCAAATTACGTAATTTTTTCTCCATTGACCCGGCGAGGAACTGACCTACGGGAAACATTACCGCCGTTTTTTACTCTTTATTTACCTTTTTTTTCTTTTTTGCCCCGATCGTTTTTTACTAACTTTCTTTCCCGCAGTGTCAACAAACTCCCCCCCTGTGTGAACTAGGTTTTTTCCGCGCCGCTTTTTTTAAAGGATATACACAAGTGGTGCGGTGACTCGCGAAGATACTGGAAAAAAGGTAAAAAAATCCGTGTCGAAAAAAGAGGAAGAAAAAACGTCACTTTATGACCTGCCTCAACCGCGGAGCGTCCCGTGCCCAGTCTTGCGCGCCGGCGTTGCCAATTCTCCCAAAAACCCCGGCTTTTTCCGGGCGAGTTATATGGATTTTCACCTCTTTCCGACAGCTACACATGTGCGGATCGCATTCCCAAGATGCGTCTGCTGCCGGCCTAAGGAAGAACGCCGCACGAACATTCGAGAGTTGCCAAATTTCCACGGATAAAATGTTTATTTTGGAAGAAACTTATACATGTTTGTCTTTGAAAATTTCAGATATTTTAGATTAAACTGCCCTCGATATTGTCTGAAAAATTGGGAGAAAAATATTCATATTTTTCCTAATAAATTCGTATCTTTTCAAAGGGGATTTGGCAACGTCTGAAGGCTCATACGGCTTTCTTCCTAAGTACAGGAGTCTGGGTCCGGACCGACGGCACGGCGCGACGTGGCGCGAGAGCCGGCGGTCGACCTTGCCCCTTTGTTACCATGGCAACCTCAGCACCCTTACTTTTTTTTACCAACAGCTGGCATACTGCAAGAGCAGAATTGACATCTAACACCCGAAAAAAAGGAAGAAAAAAATGATGCCGCTCGTATCACCTCCGGTTTTTTCTTCTTTTTCGGCCGGCCTCCCGTGCTCCCGTGATTCAATTATTTGGGCACACAAAGTGGTTTTTCCTATAATTTCGAACCCTCGCCTCGGCGCTAATATAGACTTTTTTCTGACCGCACCCGAGCGCAACTGTGAACTAATTATGGTGGATTTTTTCCTCTTCATTTGATTCGGGATTTTTTTTTGTCCTCCTCGGAACCCTTGCCCGTGCCAAGCTCACCCCGGCCTATCTAATGATGGCTACTGATTTTACTCCCATCTGGAGGCGATCCGTCCGTAAATCATTCCGGAGTTAATATAAGCACTGACCGATAAACGAAATTGACTCAAGTTTATAAATGAGGATGCTCTCGGAGAGTTTTTTAAACTCGGACTCTTAATCCTAAAACACCCCTTTTAGACGGCTGTTCGGAGAGATACTGATAATGCTTCCGACACAGTTGGATCTCTTTCCTAGAAAACTGCCTAACTCGGGGAAAATGTCGATTTCCTTTTTAAGTAAACCAATTTTTTTTGTTTTGTTTTTTGAAAAAGTACTCATCCTTGAGGTTTAAGACGCTCATATTTTATGATTTGATTTTGTGCTACCTTCCATTTTGATTTTGTGCTACCTTCCATTTTGATTTTTTCGGTCATTTCTTTGTTGCTCTGATGTAAGGCCGCACACTGGAAAAAAACACATTGGATCTAGAGACCAGACTCTTAAAAACATCGACAAGAAAAAATACTCTTGATTCAATCGGATTTTTGCTTAAAGCCTCTTAATTTGAGCCGGTTTCCGTTTGATTTAAGCTTCAATCTGATTGAATCAAGAGTATTTTTTCTTGTCAATGTTTTCAAGAGTCTGGACTCTAGATCCAATGTGTTTTTTTCCAGTGCATCTCTACTTCCATGTGAGCCCTGCTCTCCATACAACTCTATGCTTTTCAGGGCTTACGTGGAAGTAGGGATTTGCCCCTCCCTACGTCAGAAAAGGGACGATTTGTATGGCATCTTTGCGGTCAGTATGTTATTTCGAAGCAACACCTAAAATTCACGCTGAATAATTATAAGAATGAGAATTAATGAACATCTGCGTGGTGTCAGAAGTCTCTTCTTTGGCATACCCTGTCAGTCCTTCACGGGATTGTCACATTTCAAGAAGGTGAGTGAATTTTCATACTGATAGGAAAATGTACCACCGCTTTTTTGTTTCGAACCTCGAGACAGTTAGTTGAGGGCCATAAGAATGAATGGGAATTATAAAGCGCCAGTGACGTCAGCGGTAATGGATTCGAGATCGGGGACGGGGTTCTTTAACTCATGAGCCCTGTCCACAACGCTCTTGTCATAATCACACGGCTCATGCGTGCCGCATTCAGTTGGCGCTTAGTTTCGTTTGGTAGAATGTAAAACCCTGCTTTTCCATTCAACCGAAGGGAATCACGCCCACTTTCACAGTGTTCCTTATTCAACTAGAGCGCACCCCATCTTCCCTTTCGTCTATTATTCCGTTCACGGAGAAAAAAACTTCGTGCATGGGACCCGAAGTTGAGGTCATATGGATCTCTGAAGTTTTCGGATCACGCATCCAAAAACTTGAGGTCCAACTGCCGAAGTTCGGGTTGGACATCTGAAGTACTCCGGTACGCACCGAGTACTTCAGATGTGTGACCTGAACCCTTCGGTATATACCGAAGTACTTCAGATGTCTGACCCGAACCTCGGCAGCTGGACCTCAAGTTTTCGGATGCGTGATCCGAAAACTTCAGAGATCCATATGACCTCAACTTCGGGTCCCATGCACGAAGTTTTTTTCTCAGCGTTTAGGAGAAATACTTCCAATTTTCAGCGCAGATCGGCAACATAGGATAGACGTCCTCTTTTGGGCAGTATCTTGAGTGGATCCGTATCAAAAGTCCGGACCAATTATAACGCTCTTCGTCCTCCATATAGAAACGCCAGCCTAATACCCAGTATTCATTTTTATCGATTCGGGACGGTAGGGCGGGCTCGATGGGCGGGGGGGGGGGGGAGGGGGAGTATATTCGGTCAAACGATGGAAAAAAAATTCAACCCATGCAGATTGATACTCTTTGTTCGGTTATCGGATCATGCGAATCCAGGCTCAAAGCGGCCAGGCATTCCGAAGTTAATTTTTCCCTTGTTGTGTGCTGCAAGGACCGCTTTTTTCCACGAGTTTTACGCGGAGCGATAATGTGACGAATGAGGACAGCCCTCACCGCGGCAGAGCAGTCCCATTGGCGGTATTAATTTATTTATTTATTTATCCCTTTTTGCATCTCCCATATCCTCCGCGTCATCATAATATTTAGGTGGACCTAATCGATCGGTAATGAATGCAAAGCTGCCACCGCAGACGGCCCGGATGAAAAAGAACTGTCATCATGTTCATAAAAATTCCGCTCTCCTCGATAAAATTCAGCCTGGTTTTCGGTTTTGTCTTTGAATAAAGAGATAAAGCGGCTGGGATACCAATAATATCTACATTGGGCCTTTTTCAGAAGAAACCATCTGTGGACTGATTATTGAAATTGACAGACAGGGCGATAGACATAGAAGACATGAGGAACATGAAGCGATCCTACACGGAGAAAAAAAACCTCGTGCGTGGGACCCGAAAGTTTAGGTCATATGGATCTCTGAAGTTTTCGGATTGAGCATCTGAACACTTTAGGTCTAGCTGTCGAGGTCCGGATCACACATCTGAAACTTCAGTTCCTACATCTGAAGTACTTCAGATGTGAGAACCGAAGTTTTTCGGATGTGAGAAACGAAGTTGTTCGGATGTGAAAACCGAAGTACTTCAGATGTAAGAACTGAAGTTTCAGATGTGTGATCCAAACCTTAGCAGCTGGACACAAAGCGTTCAGATGCTCAATCCGAAAACTTCAGAGATCCATATGACCTAAACTTCGGGTCCCACGCACGAAGTTTTTTTCGCCGTGTATTGGTGGAAGAAACCAAGGGTGCCTCCGTTGCAATGGATGACGTCAGAAATCGAGTCTTTCAAAGCGCTATAATATCTAGATTCAAATAGGACAAGAGAAGGCGAGAACGAGGCTAATTGAACATATTTATGCTAAAAGGAACTATGTGCATAGGGACGGCGTGTGACATTGTTTCTTTTAGCATAAATACATCCAATTGTAAGCCTCGTCCCCACCTTTTCTTATTATATTTTATATGTATTTTCGGGCTGCCACAGTGCACATTTATCTATATCTAGGTTAATATTGAACGTAGAAAGTTGTTGTTTGGACAGATCTTATTGTTTTTAGCTAATCTACAAGAATTTGACATCAAAACAAGATTCCGTGACCAGCGCAACTGACTCTCTCCATATGGAAGCGTTGAGTTCTCAAAATTAAAAGCTTCCACCTGTCGCCAAATAAGGGCTGGGGAGCCTTAAGGCCTGAATGAGGGTCTCTTGTCTCTGATGTTACCTATCTTAGATATTACAGATAATAATTGGACGTATTTCTGTCCAACGGAACTAAGCGCCAATTTGAGTTCCTTTTGAGGAATTTAGAATCCCGGATAGCGCGTTCTGTCAAACGGAACTAAGCGCCATGGAAAAGCATTGCGAGTATAGGAACGAATGAGCCCGACGCCCGGTTCCGTCACCAATCCAAGCCCCCCTCTACCTTCCTACCTCGATGGCGCTTAGTTCCGTTTGACAGAAATATGTCCGATTCTTTTTCAAAACTGTTAACGTGAACATTTCGATACTGCTCTGTAACGTATAGTTGGAACTGAAGAACTTAGTTATCTGGCCAAAATTGACGATTTTTCTTTTTGTTTCAGCACTGCGGCAAAGACGTGGACTACGGATGGCCGCGGCAGCAAATGACGAAACAAGGATACGAGGTGAGTTTTGATTCTTGAGTTACAGCCGCGGCGCGGATCAGTGGCGTGGCGTGCTTTGCGATATATCGATCCATCCGCCATTTAAACCTATGAAAAATGATCGATGAACAGGTTGTTTGCAACGGACACCTTAACTATCGATTCTTTACCCTAGCTTCAAATGGCATACTATCGATGGTCGATTATCACGTCTCGTCATTCTAAGAGCGATTTGAGAAAGCTGTTGGCTGTCGCTCTTCATTACGTAAGTGGACATAAAACCAATGCACCGCCGAAAAAAGGGAGAAAAAGTGGAATCGGTGAAACGGGGAACCGGCCAGCGCGGAAGTCGCCTCCGACGATCTGGTTCTTCGACAGATGTCCGAATAAAAATACAGAGCAACTAATTTCTGATTGCATCTCGAGTCGGACAAGGAAGTTCTCCTGTAATTTATTTGGTCTCCGATGAGCACTGGAACTTTTAGCACGCGCTTGTTCTGCCGTGCTAAAGAAAAACGACGTATGAAAATTCGAAAGTTGCCAAATTTCCACCGATAAAATGTTCATTTTGGAACGAGGTTCTGCTTGTTTTTGTCATTGAATTTTTCAGATATCTTAGATTACACTGCAAAAAATACCGTCTGAAAAATCGGAAGAAAAATATCGGTAACTTTCCCAATAAAGTCCTATTTTCTCAAAAGAAACTTGGCAACGCCTGAAGGCTCATACGTCGTTTTTTCTTAGCACGGCAGTATGTCCAGGTCGAGTGATTTAGGTTCGCACACGATGTGCACCATTTATTCGGACTACATTTTGCAATTCGAAACTTTAATTTCTGACTCAGTTTGAAAATAACTTGTGTACGATTAGTTTTCCATCATGCATCCGTGGATGCGCCAGGAATTTTAGTTTCTAAATGCAAAACGAGGTCCATTTGTTCCCTAATGGTATTTGGTAATGTATTTGCTCCCTATCTTTGCATGGAGAGTTTGTCTTGATGTAGAGGTGGACTCTCAGGATAGCGTGGGATATCCCCTCCATTTTGGCCTCAACTCGAGAGCTTTTTTGAGCTTGGGAGTTGATTTCAGAGAAAATCATTGGCACCATCGTGTTTCTCGTGAACTTTTACATAAGAATCATTAGTCAAATCGCAAATTCCTCAAACATGCAACATCTCCACTGCAGAGAAGGTTTTGTATGTATGGTTGGTGGGGAAATACATTTATTTAAAGGTTGTTGGTTGGTAGATACGTTTATTTGGTGCTTTTAACATCTGAGCCATAACTACCTTAGAGGAGAGATCAAAATAGTCTTTTAACATCTTGTGTGTGTGTGTGTATGTATGTATTTCAGCCAACGTGAGTTTTTTTCCAGCTTTCAGAGCTCTTTGAGCCTCAGTTAATTTTTTAGTGTTAAGGTGGTACTTTGCAGACGGTCATAAATATCCATAACTCGTATGCAACCTTAAAATTGACTGAGTCCGGAGGGTATAACCTTCCACTTATTGAAATTAGGTTTTCTTCTGAGCTATGGCAATGGCTCCGCTTTGCACGAAAGTTGTGAGTGACCCGATCAGGAATAAATAACTCGGACCATTAGATCTTGAAATGTCAAGGCGACGTGAGGATTAGCGAATTCGAGACCAGATTGATGGTTATCTCGCAAAAATAAAACCAAATAAATAAATACATAAATGAATACGGAATAATTAGGAATGAGCCACAAGTAAATCGTTACGACCGAAATTGTGACATACACGATGGTAAAGTTTTAATCCAGTCAGCGGCGCGCTGTTAACTTAGTTGAAGGATTTATGGACACACGACTTTTGCAACAGCTCTGACTCTCATTCCAGAAACGAGTTATTTTTACATTTATTCTGTATCTGCACCAGTGAGGGATTCTTTTTTTGATTGCGGGGTTTAGCGTGACGCACGGCACAAATAATTTGGTTGTCCGATATACCTTCAATCGAGTAGCGGTTTTTTTTGTTTTTGTTTTTTTTTTCCTAATCTATTGTTCTTACTGCTTATGCCTTTACTCCTTTGATAATGGGTCAGTTGTGTCATGTGCACTGCTCCTTGTCTTTGAGTCATAAGATGGAGACAGGTGTTTGTTTTGAGTCTCAAAATTATCAATGAATAGCCCCCTCTCAAAAAGCCTTTTTTCCCTTCAAAATTGTAAACCAACTATTCACCGCTCATTGTAATTTTCCGCCATAACCGTTCGTTTCATTTCTATACGCTAAGAGAGGACGTTGAGTAGCGAGGCCTAAATGCTCGATCATAGATATCTCACCATTTGAAGCTATGGTGAAGAATCGATCATGAAGGTGTTTGTTGCGAACACCCTCTCCATCGAACATTTTCCATTGGTTTAAATGGCGAATCAATTAATCTATGGCAAAGTATACGCAACGCCTCGGAATACGATGTTAGGACCTCTAGACGCCCCAGCTTTTTAAACAACTATACCTTAGTATTGATTACCCATTTTTGTTGGGGTTTTCCTTCGTCTCTTTTTTAATGTCCATTTAAGATGATAATACACTGGAAAAAAAAACATCAGAGTCCAGACTCTTGAAAACATCAGATTTGAGCTTAAATCAAAAGGAAATCCGCTCAAATTAAGAGGCTTGGATCTTGATTTAAGCTTAAATCTGATTGAATCAAGAGTATTTTTTCTTGTCGATGTTTTTAAGAGTCTGGACTCTAGACCCAATGTGTTTATTTTCCAGTGTAGTCTATAAGATGCGCAAATGAAGAGACGCTGCACGAAAAAGGACTACGAAGAGATAAAAACCAGAAACCTGAGTAAATAAGGTCCTTTTAATGTTGGGAATACGATGCTTGTAACCCTGAGAATAACTTGTCTACGATAAAACGAATTTTCACTCCGAAAAAAAAAAACACATTTGATCTAGAGTCCAGACTCTTAAGAACATCGACAAGAAAAAGTACTCTTGATTCAATCAGATTGAAGCTTAAATCAAGAACCAAGCCTCTTAATTTGAGCGGATTTCCTTTTAATTTAAGCTTAAATCTGATTGAATCAAGTGTCCTTTTTCTTCTCAATGTTTTCAAGAGTCTGAACTCTAGATCCAATGCGTTTTTTTTTCCAGTGTTTCATTTTTCCCAGGCAGTTTTTAGAGGAAGGCATACTGTTGTTATCACGCAATCACGGACTGGAAGAATTTGGATCGAAAAATTCAGAGGAATTTGGTTGCTGCAAACATATACGGCAGTTTAAAACGTGACAGTTAATAGGACTCTGGGGAGTAAACTTGAATAGACGAGGAACATTTTAAATTTATTTCATTCGATTCGTGTTTTTGTCGTTTATTTGCTGCCTGCTCCGAAATAGCTCGGAAATTTAAACGCCGGCACTGCGTGACGTGGGATTGCAGCGCTGCCAAAGACAAAATGGACTACACTTTCCAATTAAGGACTTCTATTTTTGGCTTAATTTAGAATTAACAAATGTGCCATCGATTTCTCTACGCAGATTCTGCATGCTCGGTCTCTAATGGTATAAACTTGAAGTCTTCTTAATAGGTATAAAAGACAGGCTCGGACTGGCCATAAGGCCAATCTGCCATTGGCAGATACGCCCCCTTTGCGCGCCGAAAACGCGCTCATCTTACAGATAGCAAAATTAGAAGAAAAACAAAAGCACGATCGAGAATATGTGAGAAAAATTTCTTAAATGAACGGAAGAAGAGAGAGTTAGGAGTAAAGGAAGGTGCTTTAACGCATGATATAGTGGTGAACAGAGGTCCAAGAACTACTTTCTGAAGCGTAAACAATTTTCTATGAAATTTTCACCTTCTCCTTGATTCGCTATGTGTAACTCCCTTAGAAGCGATGGCCGGTTCGATTTTTAGACATACGCATCCTTTATAGACCTCTTAAGAGACCTTTAAACATATTTTCTCCTTTTCAAATGACTATTGATCTGGACATACCATTGCATAGCTTGGGCACACTTAACCTTAATTTATCTCGAAATTAAAAAATGAGAGACCTCTAAAATGTAAACGCGATACAACTATGCGCGCAAGATGGATGTCCACATTGCATATGAAAAATGTAAGACGCGATGCCGTGAGCTGTGAACTCGCAATGCTCTGCTCTAGTTTGAAGCAACATTACAAATTAGACAAACGCAAACAAACGCAATATGCAAATAAAGCGAGGGAAAGTATGCGCGTTAACGACGGCGCAGAGATACAACTATTCGTACTTGATGGACGTCCGTGCTGCATCTGAAAAATTGAAGGCGCGATGACGCGAACTGTAAGCTCTCAATGCTCTGCTTTATGCTGTCAATGAAGCGTCGCTCTGATTCGGGAGAAATGTTTAAAAAAGGCCTGAAGACATCTCTCCTACCTTCGAATGTATTACTGACGTAGTGCTTGAAGCACCATTACGGATAAGCCAAACGGAAACAAACACAATATGGAAAAAGAGAGAGGGAAAGGATGCGTGTTTACGACGGCGCAGAGATACAACTATTCGTACTTGATGGACGTCCGTGCTGCATCTGAAAAATTGAAGACGCGATGACACGAAGTGTAAGCTCTCAATGCTGTGCTTCACGTTCAATTTTGCAATTTTTACACCGTGCGATCAATAATTTTTGAACTTGAAAATAGCGTAAACTTGTGCTGATTTGCCAAAATTTTCTGAACCCCTTTCCACGTGGGGAATTCCCTACTAGGAAATATCACATTACGCCCCTTTAATCGGCCAAGGGTCTACGTCTACGCCCTCAGGTGCGAGCCAGTCCGACCCTGGTTTTCTCTGCAATGGTTAAACTAAGGTATTTGCGCCAATCAGACTTAACCGAACCAAAAATAAATGGATCACATTTAGCAAAAAGGAACCATCTCAATTACAGCGTTGTAAACATTTTGCATCTTCATGATCATCATAGATTTTTCTTAAGCCTCCCGTCATTTGAATTGTTTTCTCCATGAGATTTTGCGGAAAAAACATGTGACGTTTTCATCTACCTCAGAC